ATCATTATGCAAATTAGGTAATTAATATAAACAGATTTTTACCCAAAACTAATGAAATCTGCGCATTAGATCAGAGCATCCATGTGCCAAGTTTCATCAAAATCCAATGAGTGGTTCTTCAAATATCAGTGGAACAGTCATGGAACAGCTTAAAATCAGTTAATTATCATGCAAATTAGATATTTAATATTCATAGATTTTTACCAAAAACAAATCAAATCTGCGCATTAGTTCAGAGCATCCATGTGCCAAGTTTCATCAAAATTCAATGAGTGGTTCTTCATATATCAGTGGAACAGTCATGGAACAGCTAAAAATCAGCTAATTATCATGCAAATTAGGTAATTAATATTCATAGATTTTTACCAAAACCTAATCAACTCTGCGCATTATCCCAGAGCATCTATGTACCAAGTTTCACCAAAATCTGATTAGTGGTTCTTGAGATAACGGTGGAACAAAAAAAGTGACATACATACATACATACAGACATACGGACATACAGACAGGGTAACTGCAAAGACTCCCTTTTGTGCTTCGCACACGGGAGTCAATAAAATTGAGGGAATTTACTTCACAGTTGGAGTGTCCAAGTCACTGTGCATGTAAAAAATGGATAGTGAAATATGGGTCTACCAGATAACAATGCAGTGAGACAAATGCAATACTTGAAAGTGCGGGAGTCATCACCTACGTATGTGCGAGGTGGCCATAGTGTATCATTGTTCATAAACAAGCATTTATCCATGAGCCTTTGCATTCTTAGCGTGTGTTGTTATCATCGCTTGGTACTCAATTCCCGCGCATGCGCAGGTGACGGCCCTCTCGCTTTAACACCCATACTGAAATGAGTGTCTACTTTTATTGCAGGTCCCAGAGTTAAAATCAATTTTAATGTCCATATCAGAAGATGAACTCTCTCGCAAACAAGAGTTGATATCTCAGATATACACTTATTTATCATGGAATAATCCAAGTCAAGATTACGATGCATTTCATATGGTACTGTATGAACTATGGCAAAGAAGACACATTATGCGATATTACACATAAAAACAATTAAAGTTCTATTCTATAAGGGTTTGCAATGTTTCATAATCATGTACAGTGACATCACATCATGTGATCGAGTACAAAATTTTACATTGTGCACTATTTTATACGAAGAACTTGTTGAAGAATGACAAATTTGTTGGTATATCTGCTGTGACTTATGAACAATGTTGTTACATCAAATCTCATTTAAAATACTGTTATATATTTAAAATACTGTTTTTCGAAGATGATGTTTACGTTTTGATCTTGTCACATTGAAGGGTACTGGTAATATTCAAATTGTTTGTCATCTGCTTTTAGTCAAAAGCAAAGTAGTAGGCAAATATAGTGAAAAGATTTAGTTGAAGAATATTTTAATTTCAAATTTACTTTCATACTAATTCATGAGTCATACATTATCAGGTTTTATTTTATAGTTTTTGATTTGGGGCAGTGTGCATTTTAATTTTAATACATGCATTGTACATGTTGCATGGGTCCCATATCAAACACGACTAAAAACCGTGATGCTTTCATATTTTTCTTTACTCAAATTTTCAGTTATTGTTTATGAAATTAAATTTATGACTAATGCAATAAATGTTATCCTCATTTTCTGTTACTATAGTTACCAATAATGCAGCTAATACATTCTAGCTTCACGCCAACAAGACATTCTGCTACATGTCACATAATTAATTTATTTGTTTATTAAGTGTAAGAACAAGCAACCTGATGACTGAAATAGCGCCACTGTTTCAGCAGAGCACAGCAATAAGTGCATAACAACATCCATAACCACTTTACTTCAGTCTTTGGAAGGAATTCAGTTGATTTAACAGGAGAATCGACCTGCTCACACAGACGAAAACAATTCGAACATGACGTACTAACACATGCTGACCGACACAGGGACGCACAGACTTAAGCATAAACAAAGTTATTTGCACACCATACTATAGATGGCGCTCTCACTATAAACCGCCACACATGCACAGTTATATAAATATGATAGTGGAGAAATGAACCCTAGCTTTGTTTACGTTCTATTTTAAGTTTCTCCCAATGTCACAAAATGATCTACTAGTAATGGAGACCCATGGTACATGTACATACCAAGGTATATATAAATATAAAATTAAATGATCTACTAGTAATGGAGACCCATGGTACATGTACATACCAAGGTATATATAAATATAAAATTAAATGATCTACTAGTAATGGAGACCCATGGTACATGTACATACCAAGGTATATATAAATATAAAATTAAATGATCTACTAGTAATGGAGACCCATGGTACATGTACATACCAAGGTATATATAAATATAAAATTAAATGATCTACTAGTAATGGAGACCCATGCTACATGTACATACTAAGGTATATATAAATATAAAATTAAATGATCCAGCAGCTATCAAGAAATCAAATAGCACTTTTGACTAAAAATATTGAATTACAGATGGACACAAAATAGATTAATAGAGCTCTACCCAAGGTAATAGCATAGCAATTGCAGTAACATTTTTTTGTAAAAATAGCATTTTCATTAAAAATATTAGAGAATTTTAGATATTGTCCTGAAATTTGCTAGCGTCCCCTTTTTGTTTAGTTGTCAACAAGATGCAACCTTTCAGTGACATATGGATTGCACTATATTATTCTGGGAAGCCAATGCTTGTATTGTGTATATTTTCTATATTTTGAAAAATTCTTTATTTTTCCCCCCCAAGCATACTCTGTATTCTTGGGTGCACACCATTTTACCATGTATTTCTATGAGCTGCTGTGGAACGCTGATGAAACAGAAACAGCACAAACCAAACTTTCATCTTAATCTTATATGCGTTTCACATGCAGGGGTAAATCTTATTACACTGTTCAGGATACCCTCATTAACTATCCCAAAGTACTGTTTTCTGAGAATCTACGACCTTTGTTTTCACCATGACACATGCTTTTTAGTAATTTGCTTTGTGATGCGTTTGAGGACAAATTTTAGGTATCTCAAGTTGTTTTTGCATTATGTATGCAACTTTACACTATGGGGAACTTGCCATTTTCATAGAAACAAGGCCCCCTCCCATGCACACGCATTTTAGTAATTTGCTTTGTGATGCATTTGAGGACAAATTTTAGGTATCTCAAGTTGTTTTTGCATTATGTATGCAAGTTTACACTATGGGAACTTGCCATTTCCATAGAAACAAGGCCTCCTCCCATACACACGCTTTTTAGTAATTTGCTTTGTGATGCATTTGAGGACAAATTTTAGGTATCTAAATTTTTCTTGCATTATTTGACTACTCTATAGGGAACTTGCAGATAACTTGCTTTGTGATGCATTCGAGGGAACATCATTTTGGCAAAATATCAAGAATTTGGAACACATTTCAATTGTTCTTATTGTTTACTGTATTAGCCAAAGAGATGTAGACCCAACAAAAACACCAACATAGACAATATTTTATTAGTATTTATTAACAACCCGCTGCTATATACTGTTATAAGGTTATAAATATTTGCAATTCAAATTGACGTCAATAAACTAAATTAATCTTACTTCCATCATATCGTATAATGTAACGCACATTAATATCACTCTTTGTAAGTAATCAAATGACCTAAGTAAATTTGTTAGTTGAGCTCTCGTCATTAAAAAGTTGGTAGCAGTTCTGAGTAATGGCAAACACAACTGCAAACACTGGAAATCATGAAAAATAATTTTAGTTTCATAAAACCAGAAAAATAATTTAAAATCTATAACCAAATTGAAAGTACAAAAACTAGTTTTGTTGCTTTATTCATAAGCAATATTTTCATGATTTGAGAAAATTTTCCTATTATTTTTCGACTTTATTAATGAATACATAAAGTTTTTCTGTGATCCATCAAACAACCAACCCTTGGGCTGTGTACTTGTAACCTTATGGTGGCAACACCCATTTGTTTTTTTATCTTCCTCGGCGACCCCTCAAATCACGTCCATTATTCCCATTACCACCACGACCTCGACCTCTATTGCGTCCACCTCCCATGACCGGTGGAGATTGGTCATAACTGCCATTATTACCCTTATATGGAGGTTGGTTACCATTGTTACCTGGTGAATGAGAGAAAAACAAGAGAATTTTTCTAAAACATGCACTAAAGAAGGAGTGTCGTAAATGTGGTTAATTTTTTGAGCTAGAGTCTGGAAGAAGGTTTACTCCTTCAGGCAGAATCTACATTCAGTATGTGCAGCTAAAAATGTTAGAAAAAAAATGTTCAAGCTTAATAAAAAAAATTCTGTGATGGGAAAATCAAAAATAGCATTATTTGAATTTTAAAAAATATTTATTTGAGTGGGGAAACAGATTGTACTAAATGAACAAAATAAAGTGAGTTTAGTATGTAAAGGAGCACTGCATGTGCTCTATTATTATCTTTCTATGGTCAAAATGAGTTTCTTTTTTGCATACTATGCATACAATGGCAGGTTTACATAAGATTCTATTGGAGGTGTGCATCTACCGGTATTATGCAAATATATCCATTTTTCACAAAACAGGCTAGCCATTTTGTCATTTAGGTCTCTCTGAAACTCAGAGTAAAATGTTAATGTAATATGCATATACCGTACTGGACCACGTAAGCGCCCAGTGTCCTCAACTCAGAAAATCAGATTATGAAAACTACACCTAGATATAGCTTGAAATAAATTGTTGGTATGGCCAGCTGTTTGCTTGCCATTATCATATATATATGCTACGTCACATGACATATCACCAAGTGTTTACTCATTTTTACCATAAAAGATAAATTTTGGCTCAGTATTACAAATGTGAATTTGTGATGAATGACATTTGGCCCTTTAATGCTACAGCCCTTCACTTTACCTATCCTCATTTCCATACCAGGGGGCCCTGCACCTAACAACCCTGTACGGCCAGGAATTATGGTAGGTGGTTGTGTATTACTTGAAGTGCCATCCTGAATTGGCAGGTTAGTTGACGATTCTCCTGTCATGGTCTGATAAGATAACAATGCAAATAAGAAAATGAAAATTAATGTGGAGAATACTATGAATCTAGAGTTGGTAGTTTAAGCACATCACTTTAAATACAACAAAGATCAGGTCAGCCCCTTGGGGGAGGGGTCATGCTTCACGGCAAGTGAGTGTTGATAAAACATACTGCAAATTGCTTTAATTTTTTGACAATCATCAAATGTGTATAGCACATCATTAAGCATGGAAATACTCATAAAATATGTTTGTCAAATCCCACACAATGTTTTGACGTCATTACGCCACTATGACCTTTGTCTCATTTTTACGTTCAATTTTATGCATAACCCAAGATCTTGCAGTGAATGGAAAATAAAATACAACTTTTTGTCTGAAAGACAGCAATCGAGAATAAAATCACACATGAAATAAAATTTATTGACAAGAGAGTAGATACCAATACATACTGCTTTGATCTGAGCCTGTGACATAGCAACAAATTCGGGATTCGGATCGCTCATGTTAGGAAATTCTGAGAAAACCATACAGAACCTGTAAAATGCACCATACTTATTGGTTAATCTTAATCACAAGGGACAAGCTCATCCTCGGCTTTCTTTGGTATGATAGTTATACCATGCCAGGCCTCAAATACTAACATTGAAAATTATGTCAACATTTTAGAGATACTAAAGGGAGGTGGTCGTCACGCTGCACATGTGCGACATTTGTGTTGATAAACATTCATTTTCCCACAATCCAATGCACTTGTCGAATGGAAACCACAAGTATGAAGTTGACTTGGGCATGACTTGCACTAATTACTGCCGATGACTCCCTCAATACCTTCCAATCACCTAAGAAATACCTTATTAAAGCTTGGTAATATCTACTTGTTGATCTGCGCCACAGCCAATGTCACCATCTTTCTTCATACGAGACCAATACCGGATTCTGCCGTAAATTCGACCATCCGAAAAATCGCCTTGGGCGGTTTCACGGCTGGTGGGTCGTTATTTGGGGTTCAAATTTTCAAAAAATTATCATCAAATATTTTTAGGGGGCTTATATTTTCATTGAAAATTCCACCTAAGCCGATTTTCAACGCCGGCAGTTGGACCACACAAAACGAAAGAAACTATTACAGAAGCTAATCTAAAATTTTATACATTTTTTTCTTGTTGGATTAAAAACTAGACAGTGCAACCTTCTCCAAAAAAATCACATTAATGAACCTCATGCGCCACATACAATTATATTGTTTCATTTTATTAGTAAAAGACGTTTCAAATAAAAACGAACTGCATTGCTTAGTAGCAAATGATCGCGGTATCGCAATCTGGTAATGCTGCGTTTTACAATTGTTGCTTATTACCTAGTAATGATTATAATTACGTGCAAAAAATAAAATTGTTGAAATGCAAATAAATTTCAACTTGTGTCATCGTAAGCAAATGATTACGATCGCATTTTCAGCGCTCGATGCTGTAGAAATGAATATCCGCCATGTTTGACCTGATTATGTGTTCTTTGACCTGACAGGTCAAATCGATAATTAACCAATGAAAACGATGGATGATGCCAACGTGTTAATGTTATTGAACGCAGCACGGAAGACATTTGCCGATGTTGTTGTACAATCTTTTGGCTTGGATTTTGATGGAAAAGCGGCATGGTTTATTTTTAAATAAAAAAAATAGTTGTTTTCAAAAGATAAACTGAGCATTTGAAGAATAATTTAACATTGTTTACAGTGATAACAGCTCATTGTCGAAACGAAGCTAACCCATTCATGCTAGTCGCAATAAACATCAATACTCTTGAATAGGCGTCAATGACTTCAGCGGAACTTTTAGGCATCAGAAAAGATTAAAATAACACCTTAAAAAAACTGCCGAAAAATCACCCTGGGCGGTTTCTTGGTCCCAATTTATTTTTTTAAAAACCTGAACTGCCGTTTAACGGCCCTGGGCGAATTTACGGCAGAATCCAGTATATCTCGCGCATGCGTGGCGCGACGACTACCGCCCTTTAAAGAAAAATTGAATTTCCTAACTGCATATACTCACTCCCCCATTCTCTGTAACTCCCCTCCCCTACCAGTATACAATGTCAGACCACCTTTCCACATAGAAGCATACCTACAAGGAATGAACAATAGTTATTGATTGGTGCAATGATTTTATCTTGAATGAAAAATGTTGGTACTACATTTAATATTACATTCATCAGTACCTGTGATGCAAAAAACAGGTTTATACCTATCTTCGTCATATCACCAATTGTTTTGGCCATGTGTTCATTCATTTAAATCCACATATGTTTCTTTGTCTTTATGCAGATTGTGAACTACTATGGTTGAATGCATGTGTAGAATGTACTACTGTAGAATACTTTATTTTAGGGATGATTCCGTGAAAATAAAATCCAGCGAATATGCTTTTTTTCCTATATTTCACATTCAACTCATCAAAAATCAGTGAAAATAAATTCCATAAAGAACGCCCTTAAAACCTTTTCAGCGAAAATTAATTCCAGCGAAAATAAAGTATTCCACAGTATATTTATCCGGGTAAGAGGCCATGCCCGGGCAAACGCCCACCCCACAATTTTGATACAATAAAGAAATTGAGGTCATGTCCGCAGGCATATGCCCAGGGGCTCTTTTCCTACACGCATTATAAAAAAAACTAAAAAAAAACTATTTTTTGTTCGTTGTATTAATAGTTGAATTCCTTGCAGTCTGTTGTGATTCTGATAAAAACTCTTGAAAGATAATTGTCAATTGCGTGAAACAAGGGGTGAACACAAAATAGCTGTGACAGCAAAATAGGTAATTTCGCTTTCTGCCTTCACCGCTGTTTCCATAATTAGTCCCCGTTCAGAGGAAGTCTGAAAACGGGGACTTATAATTCGGTCTCCGTCCGTGCGTCATATCTCAGAATCCCTTGGACAGATTCCGTTTATTCTTTGCATGTGCCTAGTACTTTATGTGGGACATATGCACATGCAGTGGTTTAGCGATTCGATTCAAAATGGCCGACTGGCAGCCATCTTGTTTTTCTAAAATGTTTTATTTTGGACATGCTTTGTTCGTTTTCATTCAAACTTGGTACATAGATTATACATGATAGGATACATGTCCATGACAATTTATTTCACAATTGCATCAAAGATGGCCGACTGGCAGCCATCTTGTTTTTTGAAAATGTTTTATTTTGGACATGCTTTGTCCGTTTTTATTCAAACTTGGTACATAGATTATATATGATAGGATACATGTCCATGACAATTTATTTCACAATTGCATCAAAGATGGCCGACTGGCAGCCATCTTGTTTTTTGAAAATGTAATATTTTGGACATGCTTTGTCAGTTTTCACTCAAATTTGTAACATAGATCATACATGTTTGGATATATGTCCCCGACCGTCCGTGAGTTCCTGAGTCTATCCGTCCGTCTGTCCGTGTGTCTGTCCGTGCGTCCGTCCGTCCTTCCGTCAGTCTGTCCAGAGTCATATTTCAGAATCCTGTGGACCGATTCCGTTCATTTTTTGCATGTGCCTAGTACCTTATGTGGGACATATGCACATGCAGTGGTTTAGCGATTCGATTCAAAATGGCCAACTGGCAGCCATCTTGTTTTTTGAAAATGTTGCATTTTGGACATGCTTTGTCAGCTGTCATTCAAACTTGATACATAGATTATACATGTTAGGATACATGTCCATGACGATTTATTTCGCAATTGGATCAAAGATGGTCGACTGGCAGGCATCTTGTTTTTTTTTTATGCGGTATCTTGGACGTGCTCTGTCAGTTTTCATTCAAATTTGGCACATACATGTACTTTATACATGTTAGGCTGCATGTCCATAACAACTTATCTCAAAAACTGGTCAAGGATGGCCGATTGACAGCCATCTGACTTTTTGGCCTTACTGCTATATTTCCACTATTTATGTACCATTTTCATTCGTATTTGGCACATACATCATACACATCAGTGTGTTTCATAATCAGATCAAAGATGGCCAAATAACTGTTTTTATTTTTGACCATATTACTACTACACGGAACACGTGTTTTGATGTAAATAAACAATCTGCTGTATACGTCACATGGAACTCAAGTTTCAAGGACACGCTCGCGACAACCCCTCCGCTTTAATATGACGAGCACAAAGAGAACTTTCAAAAATTTAACGGGGACTGTGTCATTTTCAATGACTTGTTTACATTTATTTTTCAAGATTTTTTATCAGAATCATAACTGTCAGTAAGTCTACAAAAATGTATATTAAAGCAGAAACGATTGTTCTCTTTTTGAAATATGCCGTGGGTCTGAAAAGGGCCGGCCATATGGTTTGTGCTTCCTCAGAATGGATTCAAGCAAATCTTACAGTATATGGAGAGCCTCAAAGCCAGTGTCGCACTTGTTCAGCTTTAGCAACATCGACAATGAAACCAATGTTGCCATATTGGAGCAACCCATACCTGGGAGAGTGGTTGAAATCTTGTTAATATGGCTATATAAAATTTTTGGTAGCAGCTTGTGAATTCATAACTGGGGCCAGCAATTTTGCAATGTCACGCCGAAGACTGCCAACATTTTTACTATCTTTCATCACCGCTATTGCATTTCTGTCATGAAAATTATTCTTCTGTCATTGGAGAAATAAAATCTTCCTATTTCAAGCCCACCTCCATATCCATATAGTGAGACATTTCAACCGCCAGAACTTACTGCATGATAACTTTCACTGTGATTGATGAGCGTCAAGTCTGATAAAAAGGAGCAATGTAGACTTGACCTCTATGATGAAACACGAGTAGTGACGTTAGCCAATCAGTAAAGCAGATGCATAAAGGTCAAAGATGATTGACAGACTGTAAACAAAAGCATCGTGTGCCATCGTAGCATCGACCCCATTTTTTTGTCTCTTTAGTGTGATTAGACATGAATTAAAAGTGCCAAGCTGACAGACTGCGAAATCTGTGGATTAAAAGTGCTAAGTCCAAATTGTGTGCGACATCAACGAAGTTTAAGAGGAAGCTGCAGAAATTTTGTCCGACAGTGACGTCGACTTGGACTTTGAGGGTTTTGTCTTTGACGAAGATGACAATGAATGTACAAACAAAAAGTATTTTCAAACAACTATGAATTTTTACTGTGTAAATTATTATTGATTTTGTATGATCCATAATTTGTCAAAACTGGAAATAATTTTACGCAGTTTAACCCCTGACATTTTAGTTCAATTTGAGTTCACGTGTATTAGGTGTGTTTGTCGGCGGGGAAATCCTAATTCAAATGATTCCTGACTGTTGATTATTTCTGGTTTATTTGCATTAGGCCAGTCTTTTTTTATTCCTTGTTTCTTGAGTTTTTATAAGGCAATTTTTTTGAGGAGGGCGGAAAAAAATAAAATTAATTCTTTTTTTCCATTAGATTTGCGTGATTCTCAAAGAATTGTAAGTGAGATCATTGATCAGAGAGAAGAAATGAAATAAAAATGATTTATATTATTTCCGGTTTATTTGTCGCATTAGGCCAGACTTTTTTTATTCCTTGTTTCTTGAGTTTTTATGAGGCAATTTTTTTGAGGAGGGCGAAAAAAATAAAATTAATTCTTTTTTTCCATTAGATTTGCGTGATTGTCAAATCATCATTGATCAGAGAGAAGAAATGAAATAAAATTGTATTCCATGTATAACCTTGTTTCTCATCTGCACGAGACTTCGGTACTTTGATCATGATACTCCCACGAAAATGCAACTTGGGTTTGTTATGCGGCGGGTCGAAAAAAAATGAAGATAAAAATAATTTTTTTAGCAAATTTTTGTCGGCGGGCGTGAGAAATTACGCTGAGATAAATTTTATTTTTATTTCATTTCCGGCTCTTATTCATTCAGCGGGTTCGCAAAAGAAGGGATACCGTAAAATCTGTATTAGAAGCCGCATCCCTAATAGAAGCCGCACCCATTCTTTTTGAACAACTGAGACCTAAAAATTCACCATTTCTCATATGTGTAGATGCTCTAATAGAAGCTGCATCCCCTCTGTTGCATTGTACCATTTTATTAGAAGCCGCGGCTTTTAATACAGATTTTACAGTAATAAAAGTCTGGCCTTATAAGCAATAAATTATTTTTGTTTTACTTGTTGTTTAATGTTGCATATTGTTCATTTATTTCTGTTGCATCTTTTCATTTCTCATTCTATTCACTGCCGCAGTTCAATCTGCGTGTTGTCAAAAATACATAAATATGTTTAGAATGTCTAAATTTTGGATGGAGGATCTCAGTTTGAGGCAAAAAAACTTTGATCTCAATTGAGAGCTTCTTTTAAGTAATGTAGCAATACTTAAACCTAAAATATATACCAGTAGTTACAGTATTAGAACTCACCCTCTGGTTAATCTAATGATATCACCAGACTGTATAAGATCACCGACAGCATCCCATATCGATATATTTATTGATCCTGTTTTATCAGCAACTTTACAAGACCGTACTTCGTGGCCATCTTTTGTGGTAGTCGGACGACCTGTCAAGAAAAAGATGCACATGAACAAATTCTAAAGAGAATTGCTCCAGAAGACGTAAATTCTGTAGATTAGATGTTGATGGGATATTTACTTAAATTGACTTGACTGGTACACCCCAGAAGCACTATCTGAATTATGTTAACCCTTTGTTAGCAAACAATGGTGTATTTTATTTAGATTTGGTCACAATTAATTGTGTCCCTTTGCCATCAATGGATAAGAGTACCGGGTAATTTCAAACCATGAATAATTCCACAAATTATGGACATCATTTAGAAGTAGGTCATCATCCACAAACATTGTGAAGTAAATATCAGAAATACATATTGCTTAATATAAGTATGAAGTAAATATTACAGTAGCACATTCCATGATTTTTCACTTCTTCCTATCTGCAAAGTAGCTGAACAAGTTTGACAGGTTATTGTGTTTTGAGATTAAAGCAATGGAAAAGTTGTTTAATTGTAAAAAAAAGAAGTGCCAAAATCAAATGTGTTGCTATTTAAATTTCTCTTTATTTTAAACAAAAAAATTACCTAAACTTTTTAACAAAGAAAAAATTATGTCAATATACCATAGTTTAAAATTAACAAAATTATTATCGAGGAACACTGACACTGAAAATGTTCACTCAAAATTTTGAAGAGAAAATTGTGGCATACTACATAAAGTAATATCAGGTTTACCTTACTAATTTTGGCTGTGACCCCCTTTTTTTTTATCAATAGGCAATTTATCAGCAAAATTAAAAAAAAGACTTCCATGAAACTGTATTCATCAACCTTTCCAATTACACTTTAAACATAACATAAATCCAGATGCTGTCCTAAATAAAATGGCAAAGCTGAAACCCTATTTCTTTATTTCACTGAATTTATGGTGACAAAATCATACAAAATTCCACTGAAATAAAGTAAACGTTTTTTGTACCCCAGGCAGCGTGATATGTAAACTGTAATGTGACCTCCGACCCCCAAGAAGCACGTGATACGTACACGTGACCACTTACGCACCGGAAGTCCACTGTCATTTTGTTGATACCTACCTATATCTAGTATTATGAAGATAACGTTGAGATTCTTTTGACTTGGCCTTATATCTTTGATAAATGTGTATGAAGGTTCCTGTGACGTCATAATTTATGATTTTTGAAGTGAGAACAAAATTCGCTACAGTATACAACCGGAAGAAGTGTTCTAAAATCTAAATTTTCGGTGTCCCGTTTGTCACCTCTTTGTCATCTTTCTCCTTCTGAAAGACAGCCAAAAGTGTTCCTATTGCTTCAAAAAGCTTTTAGTCCAGCTTCAATTTACAATTTTGACATCCTAATTGAGAAATGAACGCGTGAACCCTAATATTTTAGTGCCTAAATGTAAGAATGACGACAGAGTCAAAAGGAAAGGGTTTGTACAAATGCGTTGTTCTGAAATGTATCTGCGCATGCGTCAATGTGTGTAACAAGAGAGGGCGTTATTCTGCCCGGCACACATTCTTTACTCCCATTCCTTCTCGTTGTATTGCACCACGGTAAGTGACCGTGCACCAATCTGATGTATTGTACGGCTTGTTTTTTTAATTGTATATATTTTATTTTATTTTTGGTGTGTTGTTTTCATTATTATTTTTACGTACGACTTATTATGTATTATTTTAACTAATATCACCCGCCACATACCATGTAGGCTCATGTGATTATCGAAACTTTTAAAAAACCTGCAAGAAAATAGAGATTATATAAAATCGAATATAATAAAATACATGAAAAATTAATAATTAAATGCAGATTTAGAAACAATGACAAAATAAATAAACAAAATCACAACTAGGATCTTATTTCATTCAGATTTATGATTTCCAGCAAATAATGAAATAAAATTGAAAAACGCATTTCGTTCACACTAGAAACAAGGGTATTCCAAAAATGAATACAATCAATTTAATCTATTAACGTATTATTTAAGTACAGGAACACAGAAACATGAACTCGCAGCAGACTTTGGTGTCAGATTCTCACATAGAAGATAAAATTCTCTATAGAGTCGTAGAGTCTCCCGGTAGATATTCCAGGGCCACAAAGTACACATCACCCTGGGACTGGTGATGATTGTTGTTTTTTTAAAATGATTTTAGGTTTTACTAGCATGGGTCTTATTCATCGTTAGGGTATAGATAAAGCTCGATTTGACTGCAGAAATTCTCATACATTTGAAGTCTTCCTGTTAGTACTGTAAAATTTTTTGCACGAAATTTGTAATCAATATGCTATAAAATATCTTTGAATATTGGTGAATCAGTCCACCTGTTCGTGAGCGTCAGCCTTTCGGAAATTGTGGTTATTGCCCCCATAAATTCGCATACTGAAATGTCAACTGATGAATATTCATGATCTAAGACGAAAACAAAATTAAAAATAGCCCAAATGCCAATGACCGACACCGAGTTTATGTACAATGGACATCGTGTGCGCTGTGTTAACTCCGATTTCGAAACCAGCCTTTGTGGTGTCTTCTGAGTTAGCACAGTAAAACTTGGTCATTGTTACATCTTTGGTATCACGTGATCTCGTATAAAATTCTCGGACGATTTATGAGAACAACGAAATTTGAAAACGAGCCAGATCGAAAATTAAAGACACTACTTTCAAAACAGGTCATTGTGTGTATTTCCGGCAATATAGCTGATTGGTCGAGAAGCATTAGGTGTTTTAAACAGGCTTACGTAACCATTTCCCCCCTCAACCATGAAGTTAAAATGTTTCAAGCATTTTTCCATGGGTATATTGAATATGAAAACATTCTTACACACTTGAATAGCAATACAACCAGCATTTTAAAAATGATACAATTGTTATGTGACAGCTGATATATCTTTTTTATACTTCCCAGCCTTACTTTGAAACATTTGTATGTATATTTTAATGGATATTACTCTTTTTTTTCATTGGTCATGGTGGCTCATAATTGTTTCTCTATTTGATGTTATATTTGCATATATTGTTCTGTTTTGCTCATGAGGGATTTTCTCTCACCCACGTACAGTTTAAATTTTTGCAAGAAATGTTCTTCATCTTCAATTTCACCTTTATCACAGACTTGACATTTCCACAAACGTCAATAATGATATATCTGTCGTCTACGCGCCGAGTATGTGCGACATTTGTGTTGA